TATTTATACAAGTCGATTTTTGAATCTTTCCAAACTCCCTAAACCAGGTAATAACATTTATTCATATTTTAAAATTTTAGTAATATCAATTGTTAAAATTTCTGATTCTGTCAATATAGTAAATGCAGGTAATAACATTTGTTTTCTTAAATTGGATTTAAACTGTAATTTTAATATATTTATGTGTATGTATTTTTTAGAAAGTCAACCCATTGATTGTGAAATCCCCAATGGTAAGTAATATATTTGAATTACTATAATTAAACAAATTTATTGCTTATTTTTATGTTTGTACTTAGATTATTAAACCAATAATATATAATTATTGAATTGGGTGCATTTTATTTATTGTTGACATGCTATATAATTCAGTAATTGTTATATATCTTCATGTATGTACGTGCTTAAAGAGAGAAATAATAAATATTGAAATTACCTTTATTACTGTTGTTGGTGGTAGCCCTACTACTTTAAATAATATATTATAAATTTTTTAAAGGAAAGCTATGAAATTAAAATCTAAATACTAAGGCTCCGGACATCAACAGTCCCTATTTCCTAGTATAATCAAAATCAAAATTATATTTTATCTTGAAACTGTGATTAATATTTTATAATTAATCTTTATTAAGATAATATCTGGTTAGAAAATGAAAATTAAGTGAAAATTAGCCTCTTTACATTTTCTAAATGAAATTTAAATACCATTTAGCCATTATCAAGAGACTATATTAAAATATGTAAAAAAAAAAAAAAAGCCCCAAAGCAATGATTTGGTTCGAACGTGCCTTGAAAGCAAATTCAGTTTAGATCTTTAAATGGGCCAATAACAACTCAATCTACATTCAATATATGAGAATAATTAAATGTTAGCATCAAGCTGTAGATAATCAAATTTCAAATTTGATTTCGTCGATAGTCTCAAAACACAAATTTCAAAGTAAGATACTTCAAAAGTTTTTGGCGTAAAAGGAAAAAACATAGATAGTATAAAAATGAAATTTTTGTTATAATAAAGAATACAAATGTTAAGTTAGAAGTGGAAACTGTCTTTTTTCACAAAACTTCAGAACTTATAGATCGACATGTGCTGCAACTTGCAGATCCCTTATTACCCTGAAAATTTTTTGACGTTACATTTGTCCGTTAAATGATCGACCAATCACGAAAAAGTTAGCCTATCGCTATAGAACTATGAATATCGAGATGAGATCTTGATATCAATAACGTTTCCAATTTTAACTCGCTATTATGAAATCCTTTCAGTCGTCAAGAGTGATTTTATGTCGTACATTTTCTACCACTAATAAAGTTTTACAAAGACGACGACCTGGCAGTGGCGCAAAACGTGAAAAGAATGAGTTTGACCTCGAGACATTGAACGAGTATCGTTTCGATGGCATGTCTAAACCAGGATATGATATACTATTGGCGCAAAGCGAGATTCGAAAGTATCTTCGAAAAGCAGAATATGAATTACCGCAACTTACAAGTAGGTGCTTTTGATTTTTTTTTAAAAAAATTTTTTTTTATGTCTCTAATTTAAAGCACTCTTAAAATTTAGAGTTTGCAGAACCTTTTAAACCTCCAAGTCCTGACAAAATTTTATGCTTTAAGACAATGTATTATATTGGGGAAGAACATCCTTTACAAAATAAAGTTATTATGACTGTTAAAGAGAAAGATTTACCATTATTAACAAAGGAACAATTACATAAATTTAAGGTTTTATGTGGACCGAGGTTTGATGGTAAAGGTGAATTTAAATTTTCATGTGAAAAATTTCCTCATCAGGCTCAAAATAAAAAATATTTAAGTGATCTGATGGACCGACTTTTAGAGGAAGCCAGGGTAAGATCTTGTAATTTGAAATTGCTGTATTTTTTAAACCAACAAATTTTTATTAAATTATTTCTTTGATTATTTGATTTTTTTTTTTTTAGAATGATAAAGAAACTTTTGCTGATATTCCTGTAGATCTTAGACATGTTAAAACGAAAAAAACGCATCCATTCCCTAGAGAATGGTTACGTCAGCCCAAAGTTAATAATGCTAGTAGTACGAGTTTGATTACTGATACGGTAGTTTCTGATGATGATTCATCAATCAAAGAAGAAACACCAATATATGAAACTATAAAAGTAAATTCTCAAAATTCTCAGTAATATTTTTTTTATGGTACAGCTTATGTGGTGAATATAATGTACAGTATAAATGCTATCTATGTTTATGGGAAATTTTAATCTATAAAAAAAAATGCGCCTCCCAACATAATTGGCGTCATATTTTTACCGGACAATATAACTATAGCGGAGGTGCAACTGTATTACTATATGTTAAAGCCAGGTTCGATCACGAGATTTTGACCGATCGAACTTATAAATTTTTGTTTACACGGATCATCCGACGAAGCAAAAAAAGTAAATACAAGAAACGAATGTCTAAACCTATCTTTGTGCATTAAGAAAAAATATCTGGCAGACGATTTTACTCATCTAACCTAACAAAGCCCATATGAACTCTAACCCTAACCTTAATGTAATTAAATTTTGTGATCGAACGGCTCCCTATACGTATCCCTCAATATAGTCACATCAGATTCTAATAAATTAAATAGGTTGTGTCCGGTACAAAAGTCCCGATGACAAGTTTTCCGTTAGCGGCACTCGTATTTATAAAAATCAAATCAAAAAAATAATCTTGAAATTGTAATATGAACAGAGTATTTAAAAATTCCCTTTATACCCACCACCTAAATCTACGCGAATGAGGTGAAATAAAATTAAATGAAAGGACGATGTAAAATGTTGGACTTGATTAGCTTTTTTAAGTACTTTGGTTAGTAAAAGTATACTGATAAATTAATTGATTAAGAAATAATATTACAATATATTATAATTATGAATCCTAAGTTTTACATTAGTCAATTACAATAAAAGCCCACAGTTCTCTTGAAACGCGTTTTTACCCGTCAGCAGGGCTTAAGACACTATTGTAATAGCCGGCCATTCATAATTGTCATGATTGTAAAATGGCCGGCATATTGATATAGTGCCTGAAGCCCTGCCCGTCAGATCTTTGATCGATAAAAAAATGATATATAACTACTTCTTTTTTTTCCTTATGGCTTCGTTTTCGTTATACTTATACTTTACACATCTACTCACTATGCATTAACCATTGAAAATTTAAATGACAAGTCTACCGATTTGTAATAACGGTTATAAATTTTTTTACTTCAATACTTCTATTATGGAATGTCACTTTGACGAAAATAATTGTCCGAAGGACATTACGGGAGAGTCATAGTGACCTGTGTCCGCAAATTAAGGGGTTTGATTGGTTGATTGATAAAAACAAACATTTGCTCCGAAAATACCCATTGTCGGATCCGTGATAAGTCCTTCGGACCTTAAATGGTTTCCATTTACCTAGTATTATTGCGTACCTATATAAAGAAAATCTTACAAAAATCGGTTTGAGGATTTTTATTAATTTGCAGAGAAACTATAATCAAGTACTAAAATATATAATACAAAATGAAATTAATCGAAGAAACAGAAATCTACATGCTGAAAATTATTTTGGAAGAATTTTCACAAGATTTATTTTCATTCGGCATCTTTACGGCTCCAGTACAAGATCCTAGCACTCCAGAAGGTGTAAACGTTTAAAAATATTTTATTCTGCATATATTTTGGACGAATTTTATAAACTTGGATTATTGCAATTTCTTTTTACATCTTTAACTGGCCAGAAGGTCTTTAACAAAAAATATAAAGAAGCAGTATATCCTTGGCGGTTTCAACTAGAAAATCCAGACATATGCGGTCATATAATAGACACATAAAATGTGATTAAGGTTTCTTGTATTTACGCGATTTATGCGACATTTGTGCGGGCATATGTATATAATTGTTAAAATCTTCTTTTTATTATCTTAAATTCAATAATTATTACATTATACAATGATGAATCAAGTATGTATATGGTTCCTCACATAAATACCTCTAATTTAATTTAAACTACTTGTCTTTGTCTTGTTTTCATCGGTTTTACCATTCTAGATCATATAACAAAACAATGGAAGAGAATACAATTATGATGTAAATCAATGCTCAAAAGAGCGGGTGTTCAATAAACTAATTAATCAAAA